CGAAATCGGATAATAACCACGCCTACCTCCCATATAACGGTAATTTTCAGAAATACGAAAACTGCTATATTTTAGTAACTACTGAAGATAATTCACTCAAAATGGATACTTACAATAAGTTTCAGACGGAAAACATGAATATTATAAATTTTTGGAAAATGGGCGTAGCCACGCCCACTTATGGTTACATGTGTATATCTTGGTAACCGCTGCACCAATTTCTTCCAAACTTGGCACAGTTGTTGGCCTTAGTACAGCATACTAAATGGCTGAAAATTTTAAAAATCGGACAATAACCACGCCTACCTCCCATATAACGGTAATTTTCAGCAAAACGAAAACTGCGATATTTTAGTAACTACTGAAGATAATTCACTCAAAATTGATATTTGCAATGAGTTTTAGACGAGAAATAAGAATATTACAAAATTTTGGCAAATGGGCGTAGCCACGCCCACTTATGGTTACATGTGTATATCTTGGTAACCGCTACACCAATTTCTTCCAAACTTGGCACAGTTGTGGGTCCTGGTACAGCATACCAACTGGCCGAAAATTTCTATAATCGGACAATAACCACGCCCACATCCCATATAACGGTATTTTCGAGAAATACAAAATTTTCGATAAATCAGTAAATATTGAAGCTAATTTATTCAAAATTGATGATTGCAACAATTCTTTACCAAGAAATACGTTTATGACAAAATTTTGGAAAATGGGCGTAGCACCGCCCATTTGTGATCACTTATATGTATCTCGCTAACCGTTCTAGCAATTTGTACCAAGCTCGGTATGGTTATTGTGCTTGCCACATAAAAGCAAACCGTTGAAAATTGTTGAAATCGGACTAAAATTGAGGCCGCTTTTCATATAACGGTAAATTTCAGATATGCTTGAAATTTCAATATTTCGAAATTTAAGGACGCTAATTTACTTAAAATGTATACACCCCGGCTTATCATGTAGCGGTAGCTTTCGGAAAGGTGGAAAACATATATTTAATACTTGCGCCGGGTATTTAATGTTCGGCTCCGCCCGAACTTAGACTTTCTTACTTGTTTTTATTTTAATATTTTTATTGAGCTTTGTACCACGATTGTTTTTGTTTATTTACTATACCTCTGAACGCTTATTTATTTCACTTTTTCTTTCAAGCTTTTATTTTGGCTTTTGTTTCCAATTTTCTTATGTTTTTTTTTTTTTAAACATTATCTCATGCCATTCTTACTC